AAATTCCCCTTGAAGAACTGTATATATACATATATATAAAAATATAAATCTATGCGCTTTAATAATGTATAAAGTGAATTGGTTAGGTCCAGATATATTTAAACCAAGATACATGTGAGCAAATTTGTCTTGATTTGTGCGTATGTGTATGGAACATGAGGTAGAAGCTGAAGATAATTAGAGAAGAAGTAGCATTTGCCCGTATTAATGAAGATTTAATAATCAGCACAACTAAATTTTTTCAATCAAAGTTATGAAGACCAGGATGGTGTAGCCTTTTGTATGGGCGCGGTCTCCTTTCATTGTATGCTAATTGTTTGACCTTGTCTTCGCAAATTGGTCATATTAGAAGGAAAACCTGGAGGAACGTACGTTGTCCGGATTCCATTTTATGCAAGATTATTTCTACAAAACTTGGTACCGTGGACTTGGTACATTCCAAGACTTTTCGCCGGCATCGTCAGTGAGCATTGTCATTCTTAGCAGCACACCACAACTCGTCAAACGGACAAGTGAAGTCGATCCTCTGAGCAATTGTCTGTAACTCTTCTTCGGTCCTGGGTTAATCACCTATCCTATATCACCCCCTTAATATCACAATTTCTTACTTGTTTATCTAGACCTATTTGAAACATATTTACACTCTTCGCTGGTTCCCACTTCCCTCCCACTGTGCCGGTAGGGTTGATCCAAGGCTGCGGTTTAATCCGCAATCCTCTCCCTTCTGGTCCTACATATTAGAGTCCCCTATTGCTCCGCAGACTCTTTCCCTCATCTGGCCGTTTCAGCGATTTCACTCCATCGCTACTTCCACACTCTGCCTCAAGCCTTTGATAGCACATATACGCTAGACTCATTGAACAAGCCCCTAGAGTCACTTGTAAAAGTTATCAACATCTCCGAGAAATATCAAGAAGAGACCAATTGGGAGATGAAAATGGAATTAATTGTGAGAATTCTGTTCCATCAAGAGCCAATGAAAAGGACTGGATTGATAAAGATACGCAGAAAATTACAAAGGATGGTTCAAGTAGTACTTCAGGTGGATAAGGGAGGCGTGACGGTGATAATGGACAGGCAACAAATCACAGAAATAATAGGAGGTATCCTAGGCGACCTGAACACTTATAAAATAGTAAAATAACATCCAATATTGAAGATTAACCTAATACTGAAGGAAATGTTAAAGGATATGCATACCAACGGAGAAATCGACAGATGGATGATGAATTCGTTAATAAAAAAATGACGCAAGATGACAGCCTAGGAACAACCGAAGGTACAAAAAAAAGGAAAACCACTAAGCTTAATAGTGATTTCTGACATCAATCAGTTGTGAACGTGTGGATCATATATTGTTTATGCCAAATAAATAAATAATTGATACTGATGTTCTATAGACAACTTATATTGATTGAGAATAGAATGTACAGCTATAGTAAGTTGAAATCAGACATTTACACAGATTCTGAGCTCAAGGCTGAAGTGAGAAATGAGTGGCAAGCTGACTTATACTTTGATAAAAATTAGTAATTACTGATTAGTTTGATTGTCCGTTTTATCCTATCTTGTTTGTGAGAGTAACGACGATGAAGTCACCTGGGTACAAAATTCCTTACTCATCCTTTACCCGCGACACGGATCACCTTTTTTAACTGTGTGGTAACGAAGTTCAGTAAAACTCTTTTTAGTTTTGCTGCTGGATGACGTTTAAACGCCAGTAGAATCCCTTCCTTACTAAAGAACTCTTCTCCATCTCTCTATACCTTCAGCTTTCATATATTTAGCTACAAACTTTTATTCTTCTCGAAAAGATCAGTGGATTTTAAGTTGCTTATTCTGAATTCCTGATCTCCCGAAAGTGTTAAGCCCAAGTTCATTTAACTCTTCTACTGAATGAATCATATGTTCTGTAGCGCTGCTTAAAGAATTTGTCACTCTTCACCCCACCCCCCTCCCCCATTTACTGTTATTCTTCCCTATTATTCTTTTGCAAATTTCTTTTGTGAACAAAATTTACTCAATCAGCATAAAAGATAATGGCAACCTGATATATAAACTTGAGATTAAGAGTATTAAAAGCTTTGATATCTTCAGCGAATTTCATTTTCCCAAAGCATGCTTCATGAAGATGGTCTTTTAATAGTAGTCTTTAACTTCATAAACGTAGATTCCATCTTTGAAAGGGTAGTTTCGGTCAAGTAATATGGCCCAAAGCACATCACTTACTGGCCCACTTATTTTCTACTCGTTTGTCAATATTTAAAAGGTTATCAGTACTTCTCAATTAGTATGACCCCATGACTGATTATTGGAATTATTCCTCAACGAAATAGTTAGGCCTCAATTATGTCATTAGAAACTGCCTCAGAGCATGCGAAAAGCATTGGCATTTTAATTTTATTTAGTATAGCTTTGTTAAGAGGAGAGGAAGGTTGAGGGTCTGAGTTTTGACTAAGGCTTGTCTTACAAGTCGGACTAAAATTCATGGGCAAACAGGGCTTCTAGTTTCACATGTCCCAAGTTATATTGTGTCTAGGCCATGGCCAATCGTGATGATGAATTCTAGACAATTTTATATCGCACGAATGAGGGTGTTTAGTGAGCAACTAGCAATAGAGTTGCAGAATCGTCAAATAAATTGGAATTTATTTGTATTTTCTCCTCTGCATCTAAGTGCAAATTTAGGAAGTTGCCTGAACTATACAGATTCGGCGTTATCCACAATTTCATGTACACTATTATAAGTAATGTAATAACATTCTATGCTTATTTACTATATTAAAAAATATACAATGTTTTTATCTGCCAAACCACAACTACTCAAAGGGACAATTGAAGTCGCTCTTTGTTGTCATGTCTGCTAAACCGTTGTGATAACTCTCTTTCGGTCCTAAGCTATTCACCCATCCTATATCCTCGCTATCTTCCACACTCTGCCTTAAGCCTCTGATAGTACGTATAGACCAGCCTCACTGAGCAAGCCTCCTAAAGTCTGGATTCTTAATTGTCATGGCAACCTAACTTGATGCTGCAGATTCCTTTATTGTTGAGCTTACTTCCATTTCGAGTGAAAGTGTTTGGTGAAGAGATTCGAAGGTCGACTCCACCAGAAGACGACGGCAGATTCCTCTTCACCAGTTGTCGATTGGCTTTAGTGAAACATTCATGCTGACTCTGCTCCCGAGGCAATCTCACTCGATTCCAGTGAAAAGGTGCAAAGCTTTCGTCCGTCACATGATGGACATCATCAGAGCGAGGTAACATCGTCACAACAAAATTCAAGCTAACGAGTCAAGAAAACTTGACTCGTCGTCTTCTGGTAGAACCGACCTTCGAATCTATTCACTCAACACTTTTACTCGAAATGGAAGTAAGTTCAACGATTATGAAACAAGTGATTCCTCGAAACCCTACTTTTCTTCGCATAGATTCCCTTATCGCTGTGGGGCATATGCACCGAGTAACTCTTGTTGTCAAGCTTTTGCTTCATGGACCACGTCTACGAGCAAACTTATCTACTCGTAGATAACTAGAAATGGTTACCACCGTTTCTCTCGCTTTTCTATCCCTAATGCCAAGTGCCAATTCTAAGAATTTTTATTGAGTGCCGACGAATAAATGTAATAGTTGTACTTGATTGTAGAGTCTCCTCTTGATTTCAGATTGTTCCACTTTGGTCTATTTGTAATTTCTTTTCCTAAAATTAAAAGTATTACCTTTCTCCAATCATCTCCTTTTTGCTGATCTTGCTGCTTTCTGGTCTTCTCCGAGTTTGCTTAGGCAGAATGCAAAGTTTTCGCCAATACCGCCTTCTTCAAGTCTCTTCTTCATTCGATTTATTCAAATCAGAATATCTTTCGTTTTCTTGTATTTCCACCAAATGTGGCCAGCCTTTCTGTCAATTTCCACTCGATTTCGTGTTCCGTTTGTGCAATGTGTTCCGCTAATTCAGATCTTTCAATGTCCATGCTTATATAAAATCTTT